AGGCATAGGGAAAGAATGGGGGTAGAGTGGTTACTGGTGTGCCATGGTTTGGTAACTGCGCTGGTTATCGTGTCGTTCCTCTGCGGTCGATGGCCAATCTTCGAGGGCACTTTCATCCAACGCATTCACCACTTCCTCACTTTCGGCGCTTACGATTACTTTCTGTATATATATATCTCTTTCTCTCGCTCGCTTCCATTTCAATTGCTTCTTCACTCTCTCTCTTCCTTCAATTTCAATTGCTTCATCTCTCTCTCGCAGGCGTTTCGTTGGCGCTGTTTTCGGCTCCAAGTGTACGGATGCGGTTCTCTCCCTCGAATATTACTGCTGCGATCGTCCCAATCCTCTTCTGCAGGTATCGTTTTTCGAAACGCTTCCTCTTATTTGGATGCATTAATTTTTTTATTTATTAGCGCTGATCTATGAGCAAATTCCTCTAGGTTTTCGTTAGATTAATTGCTACGCCTTATTCCTTACGATGTTATCGAGGTCACGAATGCTGTGTTCGGTCTTCTTTTGTTTGTGCGATATTGAGTAATAGAGTGCGAGTGAGAGTACTTTCAGTTGGAGCATCCTTTTTTGGTGAAGGATGAGATGATGATTTTGTTCTCACTTCTCTGAGAGTCTTGGCTTCTATTGTTATGTTTGATGATTGGTTAGACTTGTGTTTATTGCAGATTATTTATACTGTGATAATTGGCGTAACGTATTATTTCATTGTCAAGTCTTGCTTTGCCTACATCCCTGGATACTATTTAAGTGGAATTCACAGGTAGTGTACTGCACGGCTCTTGTTCTACTCTTGTGTTGCTTAATGGTTTCTTCAGCGTTATTCTATCGTGAATTTTGTTAGACCTTATATTTTTGTTTAGGTACACAAGCTTTCTGGCAGTTGCTGTTGGAATTCTGCTCTTTCTTTTGACCAGCTTTTCTGATCCTGGGACGGTTAGCACTGAGAATGTTTCTCAGTATCTTTCTGCTTATCCCTATGATAATATTATTTATGCAGAGAAAGAGTG